TATCCCTTTAAGGGTTCCAGGGAGGAAGGAGGGAGAGAAGTGTTCTTGGCTGAGGCTAAAGTAGCCCCTAGGGCACCCTGAGAAGACTGGATGCCCCCTATTTCGAAATAAGTGTCTACAGAGCACTTATTTCGAAATAGCTATTTTGAATTTGGCATTATTCCTTGTAGAATGAGGTTTACCAAATTCAAAATAAGCTCTCCACTATTTCAAATTTATTTCGAAATAGCGGTTTGGCTGTGTAGACGCTAGGAAAGTTATTTCAAAATAAGGGCTGTTATTTCGAAATAACTTTGCTGTGTAGACATACCCAAAGGGTTGTTCAAAACAAAATAGGCATTGGCATGTTTCCAGAGATATGCTTTTCCTAAAACTGAGGTTATGTTTTACTATATTCTGTAGATCACAAATGTTATGGATGTAAGACATTTCAGAGACAGTGAAAAGCTTGTCATGTCTGCCATTGGTAAAATTGAGTCCTGATTCAAATTCATACTTTGAGGCCTGGGTCCACCTCATGCTTTTCATTAAATCACTCAATCCTGTCCTTTGTCTAGAAACAAATCTAGTTCTTCTTCTTTACATAAGACAAGTAGTCCGGTAGCTCGTGGAAAGCAGGAGTTATTATTTTGAAATACCTAGCCCCTTATTTTGAAATAACGGGCTTAGTAGTGTGGACACTCTGCTTGTTACTTCAGAATAAGGAGAGTTATTTAGAAATAACTCCCTAGCTGTAGACCAGGCCTTAGAGACTAACAAAAATATATATAATATTATGAGCTTTTATGGGCAAAACCCACTTCTTAGAGTTGGATTTTGCCCATGAAAGCTCATAATACTATTTATATTTTTGTTAGGCTCCTAACGTCTATACTTCAAAACAAAGTCAAATTAAGATACGCAACTTCTGCTACATTAATTCCCAGCATAGACCAGAGTTCCCCTCTCAGTTTGAATGAGCTGTGTTAACTAAACCTGCTAATTCAAACCCTGGAAGATCAACAGACCTAGAGGGTCTGTTTTGGGACCCGTACTGTTCAATATCTTCATCAATGATGTAGATATTGGGATAGAGAGTACGCTTATTAAGTTTGCAGATGATACCAAACTGGGTGGGGTTGCAACTTCTCTGGAGGATAGGGACATAATTCAAAATGACCTTAGAAAGTTAGAGAAATGGTCAGAGGTAAACAGGATGAAGTTTAATAAAGAGAAATGCAAAGTGCTCCACTTAGGAAGGAACAATCAGTTCCATACATACAAGATGGGAAGCGACTGTCTAGGAAGGAGCATGGCAGAAAGGGATCTAGGGGTCATAGTGGACCACAAGTTGAATATGAGTCAACAGTGTGATGCTGCTGCAAAAAAAGCAAATATGATTTTAGGTTGTATCAACAGGTGTGTTGTAAGCAAAACTCGTGAAATCATTCTGCCGCTCTACTCTGCACTAGTTAGGCCTCAGCTGGAGTACTGTGTCCAGTTCTGGGCGCCACATTTCAAGAAAGATGTGGAGAAATTGGAAAGGGTACAGAGAAGAGCGACAAGAATGATTAAAGGTCTAGAGAACATGACCTATGAAGCCAGGCTTCATGAACTGGGCTTGTTTAGTTTGGAAAAAAGAAGATTAAGGGGGGCCATGATAGCGGTTTTCAAATATCTAAAAGGGTATCACAAGGAGGAAGGAGAAAATTTGTTCCTCTTGGTTTCTGAGGACAGGACAAGGAGTAATGGGCTTAAAGTGCAGCAAGGGATGTTTAGATTGGACATTAGGAAAAAGTTCCTAACTGTCAGGGTGGTCAAATATTGAAATAAATTGCCAAGGGAGGTGGTGGAATCTCCCTCTCTGGAGATATTTAAGAACAGGTTAGATAGACATCTGTCAGGGATGGTGTAGACGGAGCTTGGTCCTGCCTTGAGGGCGGGGGGCTGGACTCGATGACCTCTCGAGGTCCCTTCCAGTCCTATGATTCTATGATTCTATGAACAGCCACAGCTTTGATCTTCTCTGTAGTGTAGATATACCTTAAGGCGCAAATGGACTACTAGTTTTTAAAGTTACAGACCAACACAGCTACCCTACTGAGTTCTTTCAATAAACTCACTATAGACACTTTAGTTCCTTCCCTGTAGGTGTGCTTGCATCCTCTGTGCCTTTGATTGGAGATTTCTCATAGAAGTGACTGTTCAGCCTACAGCTACATGTTACTCAGACACTTGCTCTGTGCTGGTGTCATATAGCACTGCATGGGAGATCTGCCCTTAGCTCCTTCTCAGTTGCCAAGCCCCGAAACAGCCTTAGCAGTTGTCCATGTTGTTTTTCCTCACATGTGTCCCCTTAGCTCTTTTAGTTTTTAGTTTATTATACTTGTTCTTAGTAGTAGTTAGTACTATTACAGTTTAAAAACAACTTAAAAAAAAGTCCAGAGAGAGAAACTCTTATAGATAGCTTCTCCAATCATGAGAATTTTTACTTTACTGGGAATGGGTGCCCAATTCTCCTGGTTTTAAACACTGCCCAGTACCAGATATTCCCAATGCATCCTCTGCTTCAGGCAATCTCAGATTTTCCAAAAGTACAACTTCAGTCTGGAATTAAAATCTAGAGCCAAGAAACCAGGGAGATCATTCACCATTTTCTGTTTCATTCACCTTTAATACATTATCACTGAAATTTACAACACAGGAAAATTTTAAATAATAAAGCCCCTGGCATGTCTTGATATATTTAATGTCTCTCTAGAAATGTTAACCACCACAATTCTGTATATTTGTAACAAAAAGTTTGTAGCAAGCTGCCAAGCTGATGTTCCTGCATTAATAGGCAGGAAAGGAGGAAATAAAATAACAGGTTTACCTAACAAGGATGGTCACAAAATCAAGAAGGCAAGGCTACGGATGTGACTATATAATAACACAATCCTCTGTTTCTTTTTCTAAATTAATTCCTGACATTTTTTATTTTCCTCTGTTTTCCAGGGTGATACCGGACCAAAAGGTCCTCCAGGAATCCCTGGTAGAGAGGGGCCAAAGGTAAGTTTATTAAGTGAGTATTTCCAATTACTTTTTTTACCCATTAAAAATTCAGGAATAAATCTCCCCCCCCCCCACACACACACACTATTGTGGTATCTTAGCACCTCACAATTTTTAATGTATTTATTCTCCCAACACCCCTTGTTCTAAAGTGTTGTGATTCATTCCCATGTTATAAATGGGGAACTGAGGTACAGCGAGCTGAGTGAGTTACCCGAGATTGTACAGAAAGTCTGTGGTAAAGCAGGGAATTTTCCAGTTGCCAGGCTTCCACCATAATCGCTGGACTATCCTGAGCAGTTACATATTGATATTCATGTGAACAATCTCATCGATTTCAAATGGGACAAATTCTAAACTCATGTCGAAGTCACTAGGAATTGTGCCTTAATGAAGAATGATTGAAGACTGCAGGTTTTGACACCTACATTCCTTAAAACAGAATCCAATAATAATAATTTAAAAGTAAAAACTTATTTGAAAATAATTCTAAACTAGTCTTCTTAATGCATGCATAATGTATCTCAGGTATCATGTGAGTAGGTTTCATCATTGAATTTGGTCTGGTAGTTGGATTATTACTTTCCTTGGTCTGGGTCAGGTACTGCTATGGAGTGCAATATGAATGCTGATCTATGCCTCCTCTAATCTAATTGTAATTTTTCTGACTAACTTTTGCATTCAGCATCAGTCTTTGGGACCAAACTCAACCTCAGAGGAATAGGAATTAGATATAATGTTTATTGACCATAGTGGGATCTGTGCAGGTGTGGAATTTGACTCTGTCTGTTTTAGGGTCCTTTACTGCTAAGCCATAAGTTCCATACTAGCAAATTTACAATGAATCACACTACAGTCCATGAGTTTTGGTAACAGTAATAAAATACAGTAATCATTCAAAAGTTATATCTTCATAGGGAAGTAAAGGTGAACGTGGATTTCCTGGACTTTCTGGAGAGAAAGGTGATGAGGTAAAGTTATTTTAATTTAAATAATAATTTTATTAGTTATTACAAATTGAAAATTAAATCCACATATTATCTAATTTTCCAGAGTATCCAAAGAAGATATGGATCATTAGGAAGGCTGATATTAACAGTTCTTGAGTCTGAATTTTCCAAATAGTTAAGTTCTGTTGCTCAATTAAATAAGAGCCATTTTGTTTTCATAGTTCTTAATTGAATTACAAATGATTCTGTATAATTTTAAATGCTAATATTGAGACGATAATATAGGATGGTACAACAAATGGATATATGCTGAGCTTTCTCAGAATGTTCACATTTTATAACACATTTGTTTTGAGTATGTTATTAGTCCTTTAGTGTTTATGTTCCAAAAATATTCCAATGAACCAATTTAGTGTCAGGATAATTCATGGCAACATCAAATATTAACAGAATGTAGGAAATTATTCAGAGACTGAATTTTAAATTTGAAAAAGTGCCTATTTTCACCAGGTTTGAGATTCCAATGGTACTGTAATCCATTAAGGTTACAGAAAAAATGTCATATGACCTTTTGCCCAACGAAAATGAAATACCACAGCTCCAATTTTAAATGGCAGATATTTGCAATGAATGCTCAAGAGCAATCGTGTATCAAAAGAATTCACTGAAATTATAAATGTGAGTGAATCATGAAATTCTTGGAGATAATTTTCTAGATAAAATAGATTGAATAAAATATCCATTACAATACCAAAGCACCTGAATTGAAACCAGTAAAATACTACTCTCTTGTGAATGATATTGTTGTGATAAGAGTGAAAGCATCTGAAAAATTACGTGAGCTATTACTTGGAAATTTGAATGTATTCAATCATTTCTTATTCTTCCTGGCTATTTCTTGGTACATAGCTAAGGTTAATTATGGAATAAAGGTGAAATTTCAAACAAAATGATGGATTGAAAATGGTTTTCAAACTTAAATTTGTACCATCCATCATCTCAAGAGAGTTATCAGGTAGAGTGGAGATCAGGTAAATGGAATGATGATATTTTTCCTTTAATTTAATCAGTATGTTTCCCTTCTGCCCATACTCTGTCCTAGATCTTAGCTGCTTGCTGAAGTATAAATGTTTTTCAAAGTTATCATGCTTTTTTCTTTCTTTTGTGGTGACACTATTCAGAGAATTTTCCAGGCCTGTTTTTCTTAAATATTCAGGATGTCCTGAGGTTAGATTTAAAGACATACTTAAAAATAAAAATTACAATAATGAATAAGACCCTTAAAATATTTTATTTTAAAAATAAACAGGACTGTGGTAAATCAGTAGTGTGGCCTTTTTCTGTGCTCTCCATAGAACATCTCTGTGCAATGCATGCAGCAGTAACTTGAAGCACGGAGAACCAATTGTAAACAATTGTGACTGTATATAACTGCTGAGAGTTGAGACAGATTTTAGAGGCAATTGAGAAGGTAATAACAAAAAGACTAGGTTATAACTGGCACTTAGACTTTTAAAGAGACTCTAGGGTAAATTCATTTTAAGCAAATTTTTGTTAATTCAGTAGGGTACAGTGCTCATTCAGTCAATAAGGAAGCTATTTGAATGTTTCTTCAGTATTTGGTAGGTGCTTATGCATTTCAGAAATGTTGGGTGGCTCCAATGTTTCAGCAGATGCTATAGGCAACTACATTGTAAGTGGGTGAATGAATGTTACTTCCAGGAGACTACATAAATGAAGTTGTTATTCCAGCAATGGATCTAAAATTATCATGTTTTTTATTATTTAGTTTGATTACCAGAGTCACAAAATGGAACAATAGTTTCAGGGTCTTCTAAAGTTCAGTGGAAATACTCTCATAGACATAAATGAGCTATTGGTACAGGCCATTAATGATTATCCATTTGGATTCACATAGTATTTTATAATTCATGGAAATATAAACCAAAACTCTGTTCACACAGCTGAAAGATCCAGTGCCTCCCTAATCTCATTCAATGGTATATTTTTATTTGCTTCAATATCAGGACCTCTGTTGCTTACATATTATGTT